TGTTTGTATAAAAAGAGGGCTCCTTTGTGCACATGCTCAGATCGGACTGTACAGCATCTTAAACATAATATGAAATAATCCTACCGACCTATAGTACTCATACATTCACCTGGCTGTGTCATGCAATACATTTCAGGGTATGCTATTTATTCTTGGGTTTCACCAAGACATTATGCAGTGAGTCTAACGGGGGGGTCAACCTCAAATGTATTGATGCTTATGCTGTATTGGAGCGAGAAAATGATACGAAATTCCATGTATTGCCACCAAACACATGGCTAATGCATAAGACAAACAATCGACTCACTCTGATAATTGTGGGGTTTTCTTTAGTTGACCCCCCGTCACTTCTTTGACGTCATATAAGACCCAAGAATATTCTGCGATAATGCTCACAATTTCTTTCTTATTATATAGTTTTGCGGTTCTGACTGAGTACAATCTCTGACTGAGTACAATGAATGGTGTCATCCGAAGCTGACATATTAATTAAAAATAGATTTTGTCTTCCCATCAGATTGTTCGGTTGATTTGCAATAGGGGTAGCCTTGAAGATGCCAATGTAAATAATAATTGGGAAAAACAGACTTAGTACTTCTTCAGTGTGTCTCAAAAAAAAGTGAACCCTTTCAAATTCAAATTAGCTATAACGTATTGTAGTAATTTGACAGCAGTCTAATTGCATTGAATTAATAGTTGGATAAGAACACAAGGTATACTGTATTTCTTTTATATTTTCTAATTTTTATTACTTTGAGTTTTGTCCCATGAGTACAAGACCTTGTGTTCTTACGCAATCATTAATTCAAAGCAATTAGAGCTGTCAAATTTGAAAGGTTCACTTTTTTTGAGACACATTGTGTATATGATATTATACAGTATTCAGTGGCTAGCTAGCCATGGCAACTGGTATATTATAAACCTGCATATTTGAATAATGCAAATAATTACAAATTTGCATAGTTGATGACCTTTTGGTATGGCTAGCTTTGCCACAGACAGTATTGTATTATATATACAAAAACAAGAAATTATAAGCAAATATAAGTAATTATAAGTTTTTTGAGCATCTTTTCCAATAGATTCATGGCCTTACGAGTGCACATTATAAATCAGTTATACAAATAGCACCGTAGCTGCTCGAGGCAATATTGCGATAATGCAGCCTGAAGTACAGTAGCGTGTTTATTGTCGCTTAAAGAAATTTTGCATTTTTATCGCAGTGATTGTTATGTTTGAAATTTGGTTTTTCTTTATTATGTTTTCTAGACAGAAACGTAAGGCTGAAAGCATGGAAAGGCTTACGTCCTGGTCCTTCTGGAATCGACGACAAACCACCACATGAAGTAAAGAATATTTTAACACCAGTTATTCTCCAGGCGGACAAAGATATTAAGGCGTGGCTTTGTTATCCTTCGGTGGACGTTCTCCAAGGAGAAATAATGACACCAAACTCACCGTATGACTGCAAAATGAAATTAAGGACTGGTATGCTACTTAGAATAAAGTTTTACTAAATGTTATTTATTTAAACTCACTTGGTGAATTGGTGGAGATTCTAAAATATAGAATAACCGAATAAGGCGCGTCTCAATATCAAACTTTTCATCTTCGCACTCTAGCTATGCCAATGCAGTGAATAAACTGATATTTGCGAGCAAATAATAAATGTGCCCCAAACCGAAAAATTTCAATGCCTGATTGAAAAGAACATCGAACATGTACTCCGTTTCGATTTTTTTATTTATTTCAGTTTTTTATATGCAAATTACCTTACGCTATGTCTCACGTGCATAATGACTTACCAAACTTGGATCATTGGTAGAGAAGTGTTTTCAATTTGTATAGTAATAATACTAGAAAATTAATACATGCATGCAGGAACTCCTCGCCCATTTCATAACAAAACAGCCATAATCCCAGAACACTGTTTCTAACACAATGTTCCATTGTGATTGCCATGGTCACATGAAAATCGTATAGTTTTGTACGAAAAAAATAAATAATATCTTTTAATTTAACTACGTACAGAATCATGGATGGTCAACTTCTGTAATGAAGTATCGTGTTATTTAACATTCAGTAAGCTTAATTTTAATGCAAATTTTTTATTATTTTACGAGGTGGAAAGTAGACTAAAACCCAATTTTTAATTTTATTCCCTTACCTCAGTTGCATATTTGTGGAAGATTCCAGCATCCTATAAGCACGCCTAAAAACATAAAACACTGCCTCAATTGCTGAAGTCCTTATATAATCTTTGCTGGAATGAACAATTCAAAGTCACATTAATTATTTTGATCACTGTATATTAAGATTTTTACATTATCAAATCACAGAAAAGTAAAAAAACTTATTCTAATAGGCTTAAGAATGACTTACAGATTTCTTGTGAAATTTACTAGGAATGTATGAGCAAAATCTACGCTGATGTATAGCGAACACATGCAATATGCAATTTTATTACTTAAGGGGGAAGCGCAAAGGCTTTTGGAAATGAACGAATAGAACTTACTTGGTATGCCAACAAGAAATCATTATTATTTCAAGGCATACAGGGGAATAAACTAAAAGAATCCATGATTAACTTCTGCAAGAACAATGATATGGCGCTAGATGCCAATCCTAATGATAAGCCTGAAGCTGTTTCATCAAGTAATAACAACATCTCTACAAATAATATTCATAGTGAAAGATCCGTATTGCATCCCCCTAACACAGTGCAAGTCTCTCGAATTCAAAATCAGAGCACGGAATGCCTAAAGTGCTGTCATTTAGCGGCGGAGATGGCTGAAACGATGCAAAAGGTAGATGGATTATCTATAATGATGAACAAAGTCTACCAGTGTGTGTCGAGTTTACTGACGAAAAACAATGTTACTGCTGTAAGTGGGAGGGAAAATATACGCGATTCCAGCACACAAGTTGACCTAATTTCTGCGATCGGTAATAATTGTTGCGGGTTTGAATCATATCGCAGCGAATTTTCTACCGACCTTGAGGGTGTTAAATTGGATACGGTGATCATGGAATCAAAATTGTCGACTGAAATACATTCTAATACTCAAGCGATCACCGGAATTCACAGCGAATTAAAAAAAATTCAAAATGATCACCGAATTTGCATTAATTAAACAATCTAATTATCACCCACAAAATACGGCGAAATCTCTGGATGGGAATCAAACGTGCACCGGTAGCCGGCTAGTTAACGATAATCACCAATTAGTTGAAAATATCAATAAGTTAACGACCGAACTGGAAACCTGCAAAAATAGACTGAATAACATTGAAAGTGGAATAAATTATGACTCAACTCATCATTGCGCTCTCTTGTCAACAATTGAACATAATGAAACAAATAATGTAGACAATAGTAAACCTATCACTAAAGTTTTAAATTATCAACGAGTAGAACGCCGAACAAATGAAGCGCCAAATCAGTCATCCAAATCAATCAAAGTAAAAACAAAAGCTCCCACAATATCAACCAAGAAACAAGCATTAATTGTTCTGGACTATTCTGTAAATCCCAATGAAACCTCGCCGAAAACAAAGTCACTACCTCGGATATAGCTTTTGAAGTCCAAAGTGTAGGATCTGTTCCATATAAACGACCTAAAATAAGGCCTAAAAAGCTCGTAAAGCCCGCCATAATGTGCGATAGTAAGTCAACGATATGTCAACAGAAAATGTATGGGAAATCCCCTTTTCAGGATCGAACAATGCCACTGGATTGGTTAAATTATCTCTCTTTTGTAGAAACCGATCAAGAGGAAAATGTTAATTCGAATGTTTCGATGCAACTAGATTATAATCCTACGAGAGAGAATCCGGTAGAAACGCTACCATTGACTAAGATGTCACCTCGGACTAACTTTCATAATAATACCAACGTTATTCCCGATGAAGTTCTACACACGCCTATTGCGTCACTGGGCGCTGATTCTAGTGATGTGTGCATGGAAGATCAGTTAAAAGCATATCGACTCAAACCAAAAACGGTAAGCCGCATCAAGCAATGTCCAAATCCCACGCAACCCAAAAAGGTTAAGCTATTTAAAGAACAATCAAAACCATACTGTGGTAGAGTTAATAAAACCCGATTTCAGACAGAGTATAACCAGGAGTTTTTTCGGGAGAGAAATGCGTATCGGCACACGAACGACTGGCTACATCACTTAAATCTTGTTCGCCGATTAACACATTGACAACGCTCCAACAACGGCACCAGGGACCGCACCACCCTTTCTCGTTATCTATTAGCTCCACGCTCTCGCCTAATACCCCTTTAACGTTACCTATCCCTATCCCTGTACGAATTACTAACCGAGACATAATCGCATCACAGCGTAATCCAATCGCTAATGGACTTGTAAATCCTAAGAATTGCGACAAGTCAGACATACCAAACAAATACCAACAACATTGACAGCAGCCAGAATTCATAATCCGGCAAACTGTGTCCAAATTACCCTCGCTACCGCGATGGAATCAACAATTGCATTTGCTCCAGAAAATGTATTCGTTCCAAGTGTTCTCCTTTCCAATGTGATGTCCTTAGCGCCGAAAATTGATGAGATTCAACATTGCGTTGTGCACGCAAATTTTGGTCTAGTTTGTTTAACTGAAACGTGGCTAAAAGATTACATCCAAGACGAAGTAGTGTCCATCAGTGGATTCAATATAGTTCGGCTTGACAGAAAATCACAGATACACGGCGGAGTTTGTACGTACATCAATGAATCGATTCAATTCTCCCTCATGGACGATTTAGTTGACCCTGCTTTCGAAGTCCTGTGGATTAAAATCCGCCCAGCCCGACTCCCAAGAGGTTTTAACTGCATCATTGTAGGAACAGTGTACCATCTACCAAGTGCAAGTGATTCTGAAATGTTGAACTATCTTATAAATTGCCTCTCATCAATTGAAGCTCAGAGCCCTAACAGTGGAATTCTTCTACTCGGAGACTTCAACAAATTGAAAGTCACAAAATTGAAATC